AGGTATCAGTTATTCTATATATAATTAGCTCAGACCCCTCAATTAGATTCAGTCTGTATCACACTCCTGATTCCGGTCTGTAACTCATAGTGAAAATCAGTCATATGAGACTAATTGGAGGTAGGGGAATATGTTAAATGGAATAACATGTTTCCTTGAAATGCTGCACACTCTGTTGTAATTAGTTTGAGGAAAGAGTCCTGGGTAAATGGTGAATTTCAAAACATTTGTGATTAAATAATTGTGTTTGTAATTTCATTTTCTGGCCAGAGTAAACTTCCAAATATTATTGGAGTATTTACGTCAATTTTCAATTCTGGGTGATAAGATTTCCTCATCCTAAATGCTATTTGGCGTGAATTTGTGCTCTAAAATGGGGAAAGTGGGAATTTTAGACAAGTAATTCTCTTTGAACAGAATTATCCAGTGACAAAAATTAAACCATGTCAGATAGAACAGACAGCAGCTGGGACAGTTATTTTGCAAGACAAGACAGGTAAACTTGAGAATGTAGCTGCCAGTGTTTCCCTAACTGTTCCAACGCTGTGTAGTGAGACAACACAAGTGTGTAATGTCACCCAGGAGCCGCAAGGCACAGGCAAAGGATTAGGACCCTGAAGCACAGTTATGGAAAAGATTAAAAAGTCCCTTTCCCCCAGTGAAGTTAAAGAAGACCTTTGTGAAAACTGGATTGTGTTCACACAGAGTTCCCATGACAGTGACAATGAAGCATTCCTTATATGTGACTGAAATCAATGTTAAAACAAGGAGTAGTCCAAAAGAATAGAATAGACTTTATTGCCACGTGCACTCGAAAGAGTGCAGTGAAAAGTTTGTAATGTCGCTTCTCGGCACCATCTTAGGCACAGGATACCTTGGTACAGATACTTTATGTGCTGTTGCAGAATTGAAATAGTTTTTAAAAAAGACTAGCATGGGAATACAGAGTTTAAAAAGTCCAGAATTATAATAAAGATATCCCTAAGTACTCAAGTTATAATCCTTTCTTGCTGGATCTGTGCCCACCGGGCTTCAGTAAACACAGCCTTGCTGCCTCCACAGGGCTGGCCTCTCTCCAGGACTTGCCTCCAGGACTCTTCTTCCCCTCCCCACCCCCCAGCCCCGGAATAGGTTCATGATTTTAAAATCCTATTTAATTGTAAGTTTTCAGAATTGTTCTTTATTAAACTGGTGCATGGGGATTAAAAAAAAGGCTTAGCTTGGCCTCAAAACATTGATAAATCTTTTTGGAAGACATCCAATTTGAACTCTGAATTTGGAATAAATTAGAAATCGAATATTAAATATTTAATAGAATATAAATTAGCATAGACAATAGAAAGTAAAATGACTGTTGATAGTCTTTTTAAACTGAATACTTGAAAGTATGCCATGGTATCGCCTGGTGACGGGCCGTGCCCCATCTGAGCCCAGCAGAATGCACTCTTAGTGCTGACTGTTTTAAATCTTCTCTCTCACCTTCTGTAGGGTGGATTGTGTCCTTTGAATATGATCAATGCACTAGACTTCTTCCAGAGCCACAGTGAATTGTGTTTTTTTAAATATTTTGAATAGGTTGCAAGAACACAGTGAGGGAGCTGGAAGTCTTGTGGGGTCTTTGAAAACAGGTGAATCCTGAACTGACTACAGTCATTTGAAGCTTTAGTATAAGAGCACAATTTAAAACCACTGAGGCCAGACATAATTGTTTCTGAAATTGGGATTGATAAAGTTACTTGCTATAAGTTGCCAGTTCAAGCGCACAGTGGAAAATTCAATGGAATTTTGAAGGGAAAATGCATTTAAATCTTTTAACTTTAATTTAAAATAAGAGCCAATGGATACAGTGGAGGTAGTTTTAATTTGTTTCAGAATAAAATGGGATAGATTAATTTATTACCAAACAAACAATCGACCATTAATGAAACCTGTTAGCCCAACAATACTGCTGAGGCTGTATATAAGCAAAACCTTGGAGTCTTTTGTTGTCAGTTTGAATTTGGAATAATTTTGAAAGGAAAGTCAAGTATAATGTAGTGAGTTATGTTTGGAAAAAAATTAAGTATTTTGTTGTCAGAAAGGTTAAATAAACAAAGTTGTTTCAAAGCAATGCTTGAATCCACACAGTACTAATGTTTGTTACTCTCTGTTTTACAGCTGTTGTGAAAACACATTTTGTTGTTTACTCTGTATAGTAAAGATTTCTCCAGAGTTCCTGAATCAGCTCAGCCATTAGCAAGTAAGCCATTGGTCACAGTATACCAACTTATTCTGACTCTGCATTCTGCCTATTAACCTGTTTTCAGTCCATCCTAGTATATTGCTCTCAATTCAATTCAATTTCACTCTATTAGTCTCCTGCGTGAAATGTTGTCAAAAGCCTCCTGAAAGTCTAAATACTCCACACTCACTGGTTCCCACTTCTTAATTCTGCTGGCAACATCCTTAAAGAGCACACATCAGGTTTCTCAAACGTAACTCCCCCTTAATAAATCTGTCTGTTCTGTCCAATCAGACATTTATTTTCTAAATATCCAGTAATCACATCCTTTCCAGTAGGTATGGAAAAGGATAGACCTGATCTAAAAGTTCAAGTTCAATATTGGTGGACGACCAATTTTGACAATATTAGGCAAGAAATTTCAAACATTGATTGGGACAGATAATTCACATGTAAAGGGATGGTTGCAAAGTGGGAGGCCTTCAAAAATAAGATAACGAGAGTCCAGAAGCAGTATGTACCTGTAAGTGTGAGGCTGATAGATGTAGGGAATGATGAATGACTAAAGAAATTGAGCCTCTAGTCGAGAAAAAGGAGGAGGCATGTGGTCGGGATAGACAGCTGAGATTGAGTGAATCACTTCAGGAGTAAAACAGAAGTTTAAGTACACTCAAGAGGGAAGTTAGGAAGGTAACAAGAGAACATGAGAAACCTTTGGCAAATAGGGTTAAGGAGACTCGAAAGATTCCACAAAGACATTAAGGACAAAAGAGTAAAGAGGGAGAGAATACGGTCCCTTAAAGATCAACAAGGCTGCCTATGTGTGGAACTGCAGGAATGGGTGAGATTCTGAATGAGTATTTTGCATCAGAATTAATTGTGAAGAAGCTACAGAACTTGGAGAGTAAACAGTGATATCTTGAAAAGTGTCTATGTTACAGAGGAGGAAATGCTGGACATCTTAAAATGCATAAAGGTGGATAAA